AGGGACTTGATTTGGAAATGGATTATATAAGGCAAATGGGATTGGGGAGGGGGCTCAGAAATGTCGGGTGACGATGACCACAGAACGTTGGGCACTTCTCCGTGGCAGATCTGCTGAATGCAACATTCCTGAGGAATCTAAGAAAACTTCAGTTACTTCTTTATCTGGGAGAGGAGGAACAGTTTGGGCAGAGGACATAAATTTTCTGCCAACAAGTTATTCTTTCTACTGGTCACAGATTCCTTTGCCTACATGCAGTTCTAAGCATTTTTCCAAAGCACATTGTGAGAATAAGACGGGGAGGGGAGCATGTGGCCTTGGGGGCTGAAGTTCTAAGAGTCCTCTGCACAGGGGTGACTGTCTTTCATATTTCTTATGATGGGTCAAGCTTACAGTCGGTCATTTTAGCTTCTCAATGCTCTTGTATGATGCTTAGTCAGGTGGAGGGCTGAAGGCAAGTTACTCTCTTATCAGCCGGCCTCCTGCGGTTCTGCAAGGCAAACTCAGCAACTTGAGTTACTTTGTGTCCCAGGTTAACCTTATGGGTACAGGCACAGTTTCAGCCTAATCCAGAGAAACTTGAACTCCTTTGTCCTCAGTTTCACATCCACAGTGGGCCCTGGAGCTGTGAAGTGAACTGATTCCACCCAAAATCAAGAGAAAGTGGAAACCTTGAGTAAACAAGGAAGTCAGCAGGTAGAGAGAACAATAGAGCTGAGAAATGTAACACCATCCTTGAGAGCAGGTGATCTGTTTCAGATGACTTTCCTCTGCCACTGAAATTAGCTCTATTTTGTTTCCTTGTCTTAGATTCTTATAAGATTTGCTAATATCTAAAGAATAACTCTCCCCCTTTTTGGAGATAGATTGGATATGTCTTTGCTTCATGCTACCAAAAAGTTCATGCTATGACCTAAAGGCTTATTTCCCTGCAAATAATAGCCACTTCTGAAGGTTGCAGAAGGAAGTTTTGTAAGCTGAAACCAAATTCCCTTTGCTACAGATGAACTGGGTTCTCTAAGGAACATCCTCTGGGATAAGATGTCCTGTTTTAACTGTCAATGTCTGTCGATCTTAAGGAATAGTTTGGGCAGAATATGTCTTTCTAAGATAGTGCTACTGCTATAGTGGTCATTTTATATATTCAACTGAAAAAGGAGATTCTAGAAAGCCTGCTCTGGCTGCCACTACCTGCAACCCTGGATGTATACGTGGGATTCTGAATGCTTCTTGGCAGGATCCAGAGATTGGGAAAATATGCTGACACCCCCAATCTCAATTGCATTGTAGAAATGCAGTTTATAGTCAGTGTTTGGAAAAACCAGGCCCTTTTCAATTTAAAACTCGCAACAAAACAAAATCACAAAAATGAAACCAAATGTAACCAAGAAATCATCCTTGAAGATAAAGTTTTCAACTTTAAGGTTAAGAGAACTCTGTGGTTTTAGATTGTTCTTTTAAAAACATACTTTTCAAATATTTCTTTTGAAAGATTTTCATCTCAAATATGCATAATCAATTCTAAGTGAAGTGCTGAATGTCAGACTGATGAATTATGAATAATATGCTCTGCTAGTCTTTGGCATTGTGTTTTTCATACTGTGTCCATAGGAGTCTGATAAAACTCCTACATGGATGACATGCCCCCTCCCCACCAGGGCTCCAAGTCAGTAGTGAGCTTGATGGGGATTTTGTGCATGATTTTCTTTCAAGAGGAGTTCTGTGGCTAAAAACTGTTAGAAAATTCAATCCTTAGATATCAATTAGTATGCTTCCCCACTTATCTAAACTAAAATGTCTATTTTTTTCAATTTTACTCGCTGTAAAATCAGTGATGTTATGTACATGAGCAATAGGGTATCAGAAAATACCATTTTTGTTAGCATATTGATGGAATACTTACCCCAAATGAATAAATTAATTTTTAAAATCAGTTTGTCATTATGCAGCTCCAGGTAAGATTGACACACAATTTCCAGAGTGAATTGGAAATCCTATCAGCTAGTTACTGTGAGAGCTCATGAAACTATGTAACAGGGCGCTCTTGCAAAGGGCATATGTTTAAAAAGAGCAGTTTAATTGAAAGCATCAATTGATTTCTTGAGGGTGTTAAGAATGAAGCTGCCTACCAGAGGGGAGAATATGATCAGGGATTAGGAGGCAGGCAAGACTGAAAAACAGGAAAGAGAAAATTGAAGTCTTTGAAAAACCTGAAAATTCTACTGTGAAATTATTTTAGAAGCTCAACAGGGAGATAGGCAGTCAAAATTCTAAGGGAATCAGAAGAGAACCCCATGGGAAATCTTGTATCATAAGTGAAGAATAGAGAAACGAATAATTTTTCCTTTGAATAAACTCTTAATTTATTTTGTGGAAGATTAAAGATCACTTAAAATGGACTGTTATTTTGGAGATCAAGGTGAATTCTCATATCTGTCATGTTGAAAAAGTATGGCTAATTCTCAATTTATCCTATATTTTCACACTGCAACCTTGTACACAGTCTGGTAAATGCAGATTCCTTGTTGATTTTGTTAGTTACATGAGAATATCTGTACTTTCTTAGCACAATTAATGAATGCAATAAAAGGACACTAAAATTCCCGTATCATAATAATTCCTTTAGGATTTCTAGATTAGTAAATTCCTGTAAATTAAATCATAGTTTATCATGTGTCTTTGTTCCTTTTTTTTTTAAACTATGCTTTGGAAAGGAGTATTATAAAATTCACAAGATTAGTTTACCCCAATCCGTATATTTGAAACTCTGTTACACACTTCAAAAAAGATTAGCATAAAAGTTAAAAAGATATAATAGGAACAAAAAGTTATGCTCAAAGTAGTCTTCTGAAAAATTCTTTCCTAATGTGCAAATTCCATTGGTATATGGATAATACTAATTTATTTCAAATGGGTAGCCATTTTAAAGAATAATTTTTTAAAAGTTAAAGTCTTGACTCATATAATATTAAATGAACATGAGTCAAAGACTAATTTAACTCTATTAAAGAGAGAACTAGTAAGATGTTATAATCAGTTAAAAGGAGAATTCTAAGAACCACACATGTATAGGGAATAAAGAATTTTGAAATGAATTTACAAATAGATGCAAAACATATCTATCCACAAGACAATAATCAATTGCATACCATCACTTAGAATAAATTTGCATTTTTATGGACAAGAATCATTTGGATTATTATCAGTTTTCTCCATGAAAGGCAATTAGGTCAGCTAGACAGGGCACCACAATTCTCCCCCTGTTTTTAAAGTATTATTTCCTGACAGGAATAATACTTAGAATATTAAAAACAAATATGCTTATAACTAAACCATTTAGACTGAGTTTCCATTAATGATTGCTTTTTATCTTGGTACAATGTACAGCATGTATGTATACGTATATATATTCTTCCAATTTTGTCAAATACCATTAGGGAAAGGTATCATTTTACAGAAGAGGAAACCAAGGCTCAAGAAGATAACTTTCCTGAAGGACCACAGCTACCAACTGTCCCAGTGAGGATTTGGACTTATTCTCTTGCTCCAAGTCCAATACTGTTTCTGCTACATCAAAATGATATGGTCAAAGAAGAGCAGTAATTATTAGTGCTTTATTTATGATTATTAAACACCAAAAGGGGCTTTAATCATCAACTAATCAGGTAGCTGGTTAAATTTATACTTGATTCAAGACGTGTGAGCTGAAGTAAGGTAGAATAACCATCACTTTTAGCTGGTGAGCTAACTGAACTTAACAATTCAAGGAAAGGAAAAAAGCCAAATTTGGAAACATATTTATGTTGTATTTCTTTTTTTATTAAAGAAAATATTTTGCATTTGTTTAAATTTTGATTTTTGTAGTGACGACACATTATTAGTTATTTCTAATAGTACTAAAGAAAAGAGTTTTAATCTTCCATTTTTAGGATTATTATTTCATTTTATTGTGGTTTGTCATTGAAGCATTGATTCTCAACCATATTTTCATTAAAATGTATTAAAATATTTAGTTCAGTCCTAAAATATAACCATAATTTAAGAAACACATCTGGAATACATCTTTGCTAATATTAGTGACTCTATTATTTTTTTGCTGCTTCATAATTTGACAACTGCACTTTTTGAAAAGTGGATAAACGTATATTTTTATAACTTTCTGTCCCTCCCCACATGCCACATTTTACATTTTAAAGGGAAATTACTAAAGAAATGCTCTTTAAACAATTTTATATTTGTCTTTTGAAACCAAATACCAGTAGCACAGAAGACCACAAAGAAATTATTCAGTAAAAGCTTGGTACCAGTCCCTATAAATTAAAACAATATGGAAAATATGTTGTTTTGAAAAATCAAGGCTGGTATTTTTCACATACATTATTACCTGAATTATTACTTGTGGTGGAATGGGGCACCTTTGGTAATGTATTAGTAAGAGTTCTCCAAGGAAAAGAACCAATAGGATGTATGTAAATAGAGAGAAAGAGATGTATTATAAGGAATTGGCTCATGCTACTGTGGACGCTGAGGAGTATCAAGATCTACAGCTGGCAAGCCGTTGACTCAGGAGAGCGATAGTGTAGGTCCAGTCCAAAAATCAGTGGGCTTGAGACCCAAGAAGAGCCAATTTTTCAGTTCAACTCCAAAGGCAGGAAAAGACTGACATTCCAGCTCATGCAGTCAGGCAGGTGGAGTTCCCTCCTACTCAGCATATTTATTCTATTCTGGTCTTCAATTGATTGGATGAGGTCCACATTAGAGAGGGCAATATGCTTTACTCAGTCTACAGATTCAAATGTTAATCTCATCCAGAAATACCTTCACAGACACGCCTAGAATAATGTTTGACCAAATGTCTGGGCATCCCATGGCCCAGTCAAGTGGACATATAAAATTAACCATCACTGGTGATACCTTCAAATCTTTGTCTTTTTTTGAATGGCTCTGTTTATCTCAAGGCTTTCCTCCACCATTTATTGAAATTGTTTACTATACGTTACATCTACTTTTCTAGATTCTTAAATTACAAATGTTATGAAAGCTATTACTAGGAATATATTTTAATTAACAGGTTAAATGACAAGGCTTAATTAGACAAGGACATCAATTTTCTCATGCAATTTGGGTACACAGAAAAAAAATTTATTCCTCTAAGCCATGTTTATATAGAAAAGTCATGTTACTAGGTTTAACAACCTTGGGTATATGTGCAAATGAGAAGCTAATTATTTCAGAAGTATATTGTGTCCATTTTGAATGAAATGATAGTGCCTTATTACTGGAAATAAAACTAGAGTTTGCCACACACCTCCCTCCCAGAATAATTCTTGTTTGGGGAAGATGAGGAATAGAGGGGTGCACATTTAATCAGCTAACCATTATGCTAAAGAGACACAAGCTACTGGCTGTAATAATTTCATTCTTCAGAAGAATAGGAGGAAATAGAAATATATTTCTTTTCTTTGTGCAACTGTTATCATCTTTGCTGACATAAAATGTAAAATTTAACTCGTTTTAATTTATAGATAATTGTAAAAGAATTTTCTTGGATAATGTGTCAAATATTTACTGTTTGTTTAAAATAACTTTATATCTCTTGAGAGTTCTTTAATAACTGGCATTCATGATAATTAATTAACAATGTGATATTTTTAAATTGTAAATAATAATGAGCATTGAAATATTTATAATGTGAATTAGATAGAATTAATTTAAATTTTTTCCCATAATAGGAGCATTGATTAAAATAAAATCCTATTTTAATGTGCTTCATTGATTGATTAAAATAAACTATTAATACCTGTGTTTAAAAATGTATAGTAGTGATTGTTTTGATTTTATGTCCTAGTTATAGATTAATATAAATTACTTATCTTTTACCTACCCAGTGAAAAATTAGGTAAGGTGCATTTTAATTCAAATGCATCTGAAGAAACATTATAAATATAATTGTTACATAAATTTAGTAATAAAAAGAAAATTCACTTTCAAATAAAATATATTGACATAAGACTTTATTGCTCTTTAATATATTGTATTCCTTACATTCATTTAGCCATCTTTAAACTTTGCAAACTAATTCATAAATCAAATCTATCTTGAGATCCCCAGTTAATATTCTATGTTGTTGTTATGTGCCTGCTACTTGTACCTACAAATGCCTCTGATATTGAACCTCTTAATCTCAAGTCTGTGCCCAATGTGCAGTAAGCCAATCACTGAGACACTGGTGCTTGGAAGCAGAGAAAGGTTTATTTGAATTGGCCAAAATGAGAAGGTGGGAGAGTAGGTTCTCTCAGATCTATGTTAACAAAGAAAGAAAGCAGGGGGTCTTTTCAGGGCTAAGGAGCTTAGGAGATGGAGTTTTGGGGAAACGAAGGGGAAGTCTGTGTTTCTTTCATTTCAGATAAGACCTTGAGCAACTAGGTTTCTTGGTGCCAGCAGTAGCTGGGGTTGGGTCATCTAGTGGTCATCACTACCTTAAAGGCATTCTTTTTCTTCTGCAAAACAAGCTCATAAATCCTTGTGATCACTGAGTCATCCCTCTGATTAAATAAGGAAACAGCAAATTAGCAAGCTATAATTATGCGTGGGCTACAAGGTAAGCATTTGGGCTCAACAAATACATCTCGCAGCAACTGAGGTTATTTATCCAGGATTTACGTGGGTACTAACTTCTTTTCACCTGTGGCTGTGTTGGGAACAAAGTCGAAGGGTAACCATGTTCCTGTGGGATATTTACAGTAACCCTAAGGTACCCAGGTTCACCTCCACTAAACATACTCTATTAAACAAAACACAATGTCATTAAAATTTAGAATTTGTTCCCTACCCCCTGAATGTCTAGTCTTTTTCTAAACACAGTTTTCTCATAAAACATAAGATCTATGAGAGCAGGAATCATTGCTTGTTTTGTTCATTGATGTATCTTGATTGAAAACTGCCTGGCATTTAGTAGGAGGCTCAGTAAATAGTTGTTGGATGAACTAATAATACCCATAATAGCCACTTGACATTGAGAATATGAATTGAATGAGAATATCCCTGCAAAGTCCTTGGCAATCTGAAAAGCTAATTTCTCTATAAATATATACTAAATTATTATCAGTAGTTACTTCAGGAAGAGAGGGGAATATGCAGAGAGGTAAGGGGAGGAGGCAACATGATTGTTTTCTCTTTTTAGTTTCTGTGTCCTCTTTTTTTTTTTTTTTAAAAGAAGCTCATCTTACCTATATGAATATTTCCTGTTATGCTAGAAAGACAACAGAACAAGGTGCAATTGGAGCTGCCTTTCTCATTTGCTAGAAGTTATATTGAGGACAATCACAGGGAGCAGAACAGAAATAACGAAGTCTGCAGTTCAAAAAAGAGGATATCAGAGAAAATACAGGATGCAGGGCATAGGGCCTCTTGGGGTGGGAGTTCCTTGGCAAGGCCTCCACGCTCATGGTTTTAGCATGTCCACGGATGACCAGTTTTAAGGAGTGATCCACGCTATCAAACATGGATGTGAAACAAAGAAGAGCAAATAGGATTTACTAAAGCATGGTAGAAGAAGTTAGTATATTCTGGAAAAAAGAAAAAGACAAAGAGAGAGAAGGCATCATGAGGATGCTAAAAGGTGGTACAATTTCCTCACATAAAATGGTTAAACGAGAGTATCTTTAGGGGCCTTGACATCTGTAAAAATTATGAGTTGATTCTTCTACTGATTACAGTGAGACCTGGGCAGATCACAGCTGCCCTGCACCTCAGTTTCTTCGGTCCCATTTTATACATGGGAAACATGTTTGCCTCTGGTGGGAGAAAGGAGTAGGTAAATAGCAAAGAGAATAGGAATAGTTCAGGATATAGACAATTTTAGCTAATAAAACACATACTTATATCTTTACGGTGGGAAAAAATGCTGTGACTTCCACTATGCACTTTGCTCTTTTGAACCCATTTAAGTGGGAGAAAGAACAAAGGAAAAACTAACACGCTCATCCACAAACTTTTTGATGCAGAAAGTTTTTCTTTCTGTACCTTATGTCAGGGCAAAATATTGTTTTGGTGAAATGAATTATCGGTCTACAATAAATGACAATAGGAAAAGTAGTGTTTGCTTAACAGAATTCAAGCCTGCATCTATTGTGTGGAAAGAATGAGTATTACACTTACATTGAAATTTTTGTATGAAATTGAATTGTTTCTATGAGAAATCCGAGTCTTTAAAGTATTCTTATATTTTTATAAAGTGAATGTTCTGGAATTATGCATTAAGAATAATGCTTGAGAGACTTTCCCTTCTTTTACCTTAAGTGGCAAGATAACTGCTCTTATATTACTGGATTAGGAAACTGTTGACATACTAAATTTTGTAAACTGGATTTTTTAATTTTTAATTTTATTTTATTTTATTTTTTGTGAGGAAGATCGGCCCTGAGCTAACATCTGCCAATCCTCCTCTTTTTCCTGAGGAAGACTGGCCCTGGGCTAACATCCATGCCCATCTTCCTCTGCTTTATATGGGACGCTGCCACAGCACGGCTTGACAAGCAGTGCGTCCGTGCGCGCCTGGGATCCGAACCGGCAAACCCCGGGCCGCCGCAGCGGAGTGCGCACACTTAACTGCTTGCGCCACCGGACAGCCCCAAAACTGGATTTTTTTTAATAAGTCCCAGTACTTTTCTTTCCTCTTCAATTTTCCCAAATGTATTTATATTTCTAGAATGGTCAGCAAAATTGGCTCAGCTCTATATAGATTTTGGAATCCTTATGGGATGGACATATCTGTACTCAAGGCCTGGAGAAGCATGAGTGCTGCCTCCTGTCAAGCAATTTGGTTTCGGCTTTTCTATGAGGATTCATCTTTCCATATCTTGTTGACGATCTTGATTTAAGATTACTGTTGAAACCTTAAAAGAAATTACAAATGTTCACATCTGTTTTTTACATGGAAAGTCAATTATTATTTTGGTCATAAAATGTGAAAAATCACTTTATACATACAATATACATGACTTTGGGTTAAAGTCATGTTATAAGAAAGCTTCATTATCTTTATTTCTTAATTTCTGTTAAAAATGTGACTGGGAGACTAAATTCTTGACACGTTCAATGTTTAGAGTTGCATAATTAAGTATGCAGGGGTGAAATACTTTTGATGTATGGAATTTTGAAATAATAATTCAGCAAAGAAAATAATAAAATCAAAAAGTATAGAGAAAGCAATTAGGGCAAAATCTTGATAATCATTAGACTTAAATGATATGTGTGTAGGGATTCATAGTACTATTCTCTCAACTCTTATGTATGTTTGAAAATTTACATGATACAAATATAAAAATCTTGACCTAAAAGAGACATTACATAGTTCTTCAAAGAGGAGTCATCAAGAAATTTTCTATTTAATTTATGGATTAGGATTGTGTAGGGGAGGAAAAAATATATCTTTTCCTTCTAACCTTCTGGATTCTTGGCTGGGGCTCTGTAACAATAGACAGATTAACAAGAAAAAGCATAGAAATTTATTTACTATATATTAAATGACATGGGAGCCTTCATAGGGAAGTGGAGCCCAGAAGAAGTGGTTAGACCTGAGCGTTTTTGTGCGAGGTTTGATGAAGAGTGGAAAGTCATGGGAAAGTGTGGTAGAACAAAGGGCATAAGCTATGCGTAGTCAACTGGGGGAAACTTAGCAAGACCTGTTTGTTCAAATTCCTCTCAGCATTCCTCCATCTTCAGAGACAAGGATCCTCCCTTCCTCTGGTATAGGGAGGGCACCTCTCACCTGAGGGTCTTATAACCTGCTTCAGACGAGAAGGAGGTGGGGCTCAGAGAGTCCCTCCAGCACCTGCCATTTCTCAAATTCCTTTAGCTTAAAATATTCAATATGCCGCGGTGCCATAATTTGGGGTAGCGTGTTCTGAACTCCATCAATTGATAACTTCATCTATATAACTATAAACTTACAAAGATATAATAAGAAATATTTAAATAAAATGAGAGTTTTTATCAAAAATAATGTCAAGATCTGTTTGATTTATATTTTCAGTACTGAATGAGTGACAGAACTGATTGATTTTGTCTGCTGTTTTGGAGTAAACAAAGTCCCAAAATTAATTCATTCATTTATTCATTCATATGTATTCAAAAGACATGTATTGATTACTTACTGAGGCCAGATATTAAGCTAAGCTTTGGTAATATAAAGATGAAGAAGGCATGGTACCAGCTTTGAAGGAACTAACTGGAGGAAGCTGGATGTATACACACACATATAATTGTAGTAGTGTGGATGAGTGCTATACGAGAAGACTGTAGGGAAGTATGTGGAAGCATGAAGGAGGAGAGAGACTAATTCTGCTTTCTGGGTCAGGATGGCAGTTACGTGGGTAGAGATAGAAGTCATTTTTGGCAGACAGAATAATGTGTGCAATGTCATAAAGGAGTGGAAGAGTATATGTTTTTCAGAGTTGGAACGATGGTAGGGTATCAAAGTGCATGTTCTTTGCAGATTCTTTGAGAAACTTTTCATACGTAATACAAAGACATTGTGACAAATTAAAAATAGTATGCCTAAAATAAAACAGAATGTGTGTATGTGTAATAGTGGTAGCACTGGGGTTTTTAGTGTTCAACATTTGGCTGCAAGTGAATCCAATCTTGCTACTAGCATCTAGTGAGTAGAGGCCAGGAAAGCTGCTGAACATCCTACAATGCAAAGACAGCTCAACATCACAAAAGAATTATCCAGCCCAAAATGTCAATAGTGCCAAGCTTGAGAAGACCCTTCTCTGAGATTACTATTGGTCATGTTTTATAGCAAGTCCGAGGAAAACAAAGCTCTGAATTCTCTAGTATTCCTTCAGGTATGTAAATGTTTTAGTAAGAGTAAATTATATTATAAATTATAAAACATGTATACCTGTGAACCTATTACCCAGTTTAGTATCTAGAACCTTCCTGTTCTATGTCATCTACTTGTGTGTTCTTTTCCCAACTCATCCTCTTAATTTCTCCCGAGGTAATTATTATCTTGAATTTTATGTTTATCATTCTTATCCTTTAAAAAAATTATCCTTAAATAATAGTTTAATTTTGTTTGGATTTCCACTTTCTGAAAGCAATATCGTAATCTATGTATTCTTTTGCTACATATTTTTATTTCACTAAATATTGTGATTTTAAGAATCTTTCACACTGTTGAGAGTAGCCATATTTCATTCATTTTTACTGCTGCATATTAACACTTGTGAATCTATGCTAAATTTATAAAGCCATTCTTCTTTTGATGAACATTTAGGCTATTTTCAGTATTTTTTGGTGTTACAAACAGGATGTTATAAACATTATTATATGTCTCCTGATGTATATATACAACAGTTTCTTTAGAGCATATACTTAGAAGTGGAATTGCTGGGTCATAGGCTATGTGAATGTTGAGATAATGCCACACTTTTTCAAAGGTTAAACCAATTTATAGTCCTACAAACCTGAGTGTATGAATGTTTCTCTTGATCCACATATTCACCAACACTTAGTATTATCTGATTTATTTTTGTCAGTCTGATGGGTCTTAAATGATATCTCATTAAGGTCTTAAGTCTGCTGTTATTTTATTACTAATGAGGTTGAAAACTTTTCATATATGTATTGACATTTATATTTCCTCTTTTGTGAAAGTATAATCCTATTTTATGCCTGTTTTTCTATTGGTATGTTTACATTTTTCTTGTTGATTTGTAGGTCTTTGTATGTATA